TGGTCCTTTACTCCTCCAGATCTTCTACTCCACGCTCAAAGGGGCCTCACAGCTTCACTCTATGCACTACAATACCCAGGCTCCCTTCTCCTCTGGTTTCTGATTTGCTTAATCAATGAGAGGCACCCACAGAAGATCAGAGGATGGGAAAAGAAAGTTTCAGGTATTTATTCCCCTGATTCTCCTCTTCTGCTAGGCCAATAGTTGACAGTGAATGCAGGTTTTATCCTCTCCTGCATCTAAGCTCTCTCAAGGTCCCAAAACTATTTCCTTTCTTGCCCCTTAAAAGTGATAATGGTGTGTCACCAAGCCGTATTGGTCTCCCTTAACACTGCCCAGCATTTATAAATAGGCCCCTTCACCTCCTCAATCACCACCATTGTATTGTGGCATGAGATAACTGATTTCGCCAACAAACTACTCTCTGCTTGCACTATTCCATCTTCCCAGAAAGCTCCTGTCTCCCCTTCCCCACAGCATAGTTTTTCTCTCCATAATTGGCTTCTGTATGTTTATACATGGGGATCTCATTCACTATAAACCAATTCCCTGTGGAAAATTTTTAATCCCTGGCTGATTCCCAATTCCGCTACCAATGTGTACAAACTGTATGTAATATTAGACTGGGCAAAGTCCAATTAAGAAAGTAAATGTTACTAAAATTTCCTGACACACAGACTTTTGTAAAGCCAAGCCAAATACTGGGATTTGGGATTTATCTATTTATAACTCCCCTTTCCTTCAGACCAAAGGCTGGAGAAGTTATCATACTTATTATAGCTCTGCTTCATGTATAAGATTGGAACAATGCTAAATACAGTGCTCATCTTACAACGCCCGTCAGATTGTCAACAATCTGAGTATTTCAATGAATGACTTTACCTTCTTCTAGACAATCCTGCAAATAAGATACCAGATTCAAATAAAAGAACTGAGCCTAGTGTCTACCTTTCAGTTTACTGCTAAAATCCCACTTAAGATTCTGAAGGAAAATAGCCCTGCAAAAGAGTCAAGGGTCAAAGATAAAATTCTATTTTTGAATTCAAAAAACAAAAATGGAGATTTAATTGTTTCCAAATCAAGAAGAATGTTGCAGGGGCCTCCCTGGTGGCGCAGCGGTTGAGCGCTGGGCTGGGAAGCTGCCCACAGCCTCTGCAGTGCTGGTTCAATCCCTGGCTGCTCCCTGGCCACAGGAGAAGGGTCCCACATGGCGCGCAGACCTCTCCTGCCACCCGCTGCTCTCCTCAACAGTGTACCTCGGTCCTTCTGCCTGCTCTGCTCCCCGCTCTGGCTCTGGTGAATTCTGTCACCCTCTCGCGCTTCTGACTGTACCCAGTGCTTGTATAAATAAATAAATCTTTTTTTTTTTTTAAAAAGAAGAATGTTGCATAAAAGATTAAAAAAATGCATTTAAGAATTTTACTCTGCTGCAGAAGATCATTCTGTATACTTTCCAATACATATTCCAAAATAGCAGGGCTTGATCTATGGCAAAATACTACAAATACTACAAAATATCTATTAAATGCAAAGACTCATTTCCACACCCACATGAGCGCCAGGGCTACCAGATACAGATCTCTATGTCAGGGAACCCTAGACCATGACTTCTCAACCCCAGCGACTGACATTTTATCAAGATAATTCTTAGTTGTGGGAGCGGGCATTCATAATAGTGATCGTTAGTCACATCTCTGACCTCCACCTCTCAAGTATAACAACGAAAAGTATCTCTAAGACATTGTCAGATATCCTTAGAGGACAAAATCACCTGTGGTTTGGTTGAGAACCACAACCCTAGATAAACAATTATTCAAACCACTCATCTGGCATTACCCGGTGCATACAGTAACCTTAATTCACCTATCTGGGTGGGAAAAAAGAAAAGTCACCCAAGTAGGTTTAACTTTATAACTTTTCCTTAAAATCTGCAAGCATTTTTATATATTTGCAAAGCGGCACCATCCGCGGTAGTAGGGAGGAGGAGGAGAACAAGGATTAAAAAAACGGTTGCCAAAGGAGGGAAAGGTTGCTAAATACTGCCTAACTTGAATTCCCTCTGAAAACATTTCAATCCTCAGTAGATGAGTATACCTGCTCACTTTATTCTCCCTGAGACACAGGTGGAAAGTATTACAGGCCATGGCATGTTATATAAGAACAAATGGAAAAAGGCAAGCAAACCACCCTATTCAAATGAGGACAAAAATAAGGCAAGAAATCACGGAGGACAGACAGCCCAAGCTCCTTGGTCCGTAATATAAGGCTTGTCATTTATGTGGACTCCAGCTGGTCTTCAAGCTTTATTATCACAGCATAAAACCCACACCACAGGGTTTTCTACCCTATCAAATTCAATGTCCTCTTTTTACAACCAATATTTTATAATTAATGTCCCTTTATTTTTATGAAATGAAATTCAAAGATTATAACTTTCTACCTATAGATATAATTCTTAACATTTCATTACAATGCAGACAAGATTATACTAGAAGATGAAAGCACACCCTTTCTAAAGACACATATTTCCAAAGTGTCCCCTAGAAGGCAAAGCTATCCCATCCCTTCTGTCCAGAGGCAGAGCAAACAGGAGAAAGGGATTTGAAATCAGACCAAATGTGGCTAAAATGTGACTCCACCACTTGAATGCTGTGGCTCCCTAAGTCTAGATTTTTACATATAAAAGGAGGAGGCCAACATATTTTTCAAAGGCTTTTGGTAATAATGAAACGAGTCTGTAGAGTATTTCTGTACCTACCATGTAATATATGCTCAATAAATGTTAGCTTTCAGACAGATTTTTCCTGACAACACCTAATATCATATTTCCTAGCTTTTGTCCATCTTATACTCCCAGCAGAAAGGATAGATGACTAGATATCCACTTATCAGATAGTCTAAAAAGATTCACACATAAAAAGAAGTTACATATATGGCTTCTTTTTTTTTTTTTTTTTTAAGATTTATTTATTCGTGCATACAAGAACCGTGTTACAGGCCAGATGCGCAGATGGGTGAGAGGATTCACCAGAGACAGAGCGGGGAACAGAACAGGCAGACTGACTGAAATACACTGCTGAGGGGAGCAGCGGGCAAGACAGGAGAGGTCTGCCGCACCACGTGGGATTCTCGCGGGCCAGCCGGGATCGAACCCGTGCTGTAGCGGCTGTGGACAGCTTCAAAGCCCTGTGCTCAACCGCCTGAGCCACCAGGGGAGGCCCGCATATGACTTCTAAGATTCTTTATAATGTCGAAATTCTACAAAGTGCTGCCCTAAATTAAGGTTAATTTTTTTTATTACCCAGGTCCTTTCTTCCCAGTTAGAGATCTAAGAACATGTCTTATACATCATAAAAAGTAGCTAGAGAAACATTTAGAACTCAGATCATTTACACTAAATCACTTGATTTACTGCCCCACTGAATACCTAGCCCTGGTCAATGGTTCTTCATTGATTAACAGTCAAGGAGAAAATGACACCTTTTCAAGTCATTTTTAAGCAACATGTATAGTATCCTCAGAGAGTGATGATTCACAAGTGCCAATCATTATATAACTTAATTCCTTACACCAACAATCAAAACAAGACCTCTAAACATACTAGATTATCAAAAGAGGAAGTGAAAGGTAGTGGCAAATCAATACTCCAGCATTAATATTCTAGAGTTAATATTCTGAATATGAGTAGTCACTGCTCAGACTGCTAAAGGGAATGAACAGGCCCAAGAAGTAATAAGCACAACTCTGGGAAAGGTGGTCTATTCTACTTACACATAGGAATCTTAATTGATTTAAGAATGCTGATCCGTCAGAGGAAAAAGAGAACTATCAACTGTCTCAAGTCACTCTGCATTAGCCCTCCAAGGTGATAACAGAGGCTGTCTCTGAGTAGTTTACTTCCTTTTGCTTATTTATAGTTTCTATTTTTTGTAACAGACTGCTCTTGTAATACAAATTTAAAATCACATGAGGCTATTATTATCTACTAATAGTCCATGAAATTTGAGGCAAGAGTTTCAGGTAAACTCTTCATCAGGAATCTAGATAAATCAAGTATTACTATGACCTTAAAATCATCTTTTTCCCTGCCCCCAGAGCTAATCACAACCTGGCTTTCCCTCTTCTTTATCCTCCTGCAGATTTTAAAGGTTTTATCTCTACAAGAAGTCAGCACAAGTTACAGGAAAATCTCACTATTAGCTTTTGCCAACTTCCCACTTTTGCCAAGTGACAGCACCAACTCTGGGACAGTGAGAAAGGAATTGTTTTTAAGGCAATATTTTTGCAAAAAAGGAATAGCAGACTCAGAAGTGACTTATTAAAATGTAACCCTCCCCAAATAATTTTTTGAATATTGCTATTTGAAAGTCACAGGTTCCCCCTAATTCTCACATTAAATTCCCTCTATAGAACCATAGAAGTCCCAAGGAAATAAAGTATCATTTTGGTAAACAATCATTTGGCAATAACATTTTCCCTATTCAATGAAAAACCAACAGGAAAAAACAGCCTCTACCAAAGGAAGCATATTCCTCAAACCAACAAGAGCTTAAATTTAAACTAGTTTAATTCAACAAGCATTTGGTAAGCACTGATTACATATAGAGCACTGCAATACGTGTTTGTTCATCTCTAAACAAATAAGACATGATGTCTGCCTTCCAGGGAATCATAACTAACCTGGGAGTCAAACTCTTAAAAACTGATGTATGGTCGAGGAAGACAAAACGTAACACAAGTTTCAAAACCCCTTTCTACGGAAAGGGCGAGATTAAAATCAACTGCAGAATTTTGAAGCTTCTTCGTATACATAAAATATATATTCCTATGTTTAATTAGTTTTGTATCCATCTTAATCATTCAACCTAAACTAAAAGGTGGCAGAAATACTCACCTAGGAAAAAGCAAGTATCGGAGGTGAACTCAAAAGTCTTTGAACTAAAAATAAAACTTAAGGAACAAGTGCCTTCTAACAAAGAGGACGTTTAGAAAAGACTCACCAACATCAGAAGGTCCGTACTCGGCATATTCCTCTCGTCTTCCTTTCAGAGCCTCCCCTCTGCAAAAGGGAACCAGGTTTGTTTACTTCTAAAGCTTTAAACAGTCCACCTGGCCCGCCTAGAGTCGCAAGAGCCTTCAAGAAAGGTTCCCTTCCCTCTTTGAGAGCTCAGATTTCACTCCAGATACCGCACTCCACCCCTAGCAATCCGAGCCAGCGAATCGGAACCCCGCAGCCGCTCCACTTCCCTCCCACAGCTGGTCAAACGAATCCAGACCCAGCTTCCCACAAGGCAGCCCCCCAGGTGCACACAGGGTGCCGCCCAGCCCGCCCCGACCATTCACCCGCCCGGCCGCGCGCCGCCCGGTCCCGGGGCCTGCGTCCGCCGGGCTCCCCGCCCCGCGCTCCCGCCCGCGGCCTCGTCCCGCCCTCCCCAGAACCCCTCTTGGCTCCTGAAAGAGCAGCGAACCCCAGCCGCTAAGTCCACCCCGACCCAGCCGGGGCAGGGGAGCGCCACATCGGCCCCACCTCGGCCCCGGCGCCCTCCCCCCTCGTGAGCCCCCCTCATTCCGCTCACCTCAGGCGGCGCCCCCACCCACCCCAGCCCACCCCCAGCCCACCCCAGCCCACCCCAGGCCTCGGGCGCCCCGCCTCTCCGTCCGGCCCAGCCCCCTTCCTCTCCTCCCCCGAGAGGACCCCTACCTAGTGCTGGCCGGCCGGCGACTCCCCGCCGACGCCCCCTCACCCCGATCCGGAGCCCCCTCCCCAGCCCGGACCCCGCCACCGCCTCTGTCCGGAGCCAGCTTCCCCGCGCCTTCCCTCCGGCTCACGCTGTCGCGGGTCCTGCTCCCTCTCGCCGCGCGATCGACCAGCCGGCCGCGGGGCGCGGGCTCCCCCTGCCGCCGCGGCTCCGGAGATTGAGGGTCCGGCCGCCCCGCCCCCCGCCCCGCCCCTCCCCGCCCCGCCCTCCCGCCTCTCCCGCCTCCCCGCCCGGAAATGGCTCGGGCGGCGCCGGCCCGGCGCCCCCGCCCCGCGTGCGCGGCCCCGCCTCGGCCGCGCGCTCGCCTGACTGAGGCGCCCGGTGCCCTCAGGGCCCCGCGCGGCGAGCGCCCCGCCTGCCGGCCCGAGGGGCGCGCACACCCGGGCCCCCTCGGGAGGGCGCGCCCTCCGCCCCAGGGGGTCTCCAGCCCCGCCGCGCTCGCTGCTGGGAATCTGCTCACTGACTTCGGGCCGCTTGTCGGCGCCGAGTGGAGCGCAGAGCTCTGTGCAGGGTAACCCGAAACGGGGACTCCAGGTGGGTCTCCGGAAAGGCCCTTGGGGTCTTAATGGGTCATCAAAGATTTGCTCCTGGCCTCTTTTCTGGAGACTTGCTGGAGACTTTCAGGAAGCCAGTGATGCCTGAAGAAAAGCAACAGGAAAAGTCCCTTCATGAAAAGTTGCCATCATGAAAATATCATCTCACCGGTTCCTCTCTCCTCCCCCCAAAATGGAGAACAGAAACTATAGTTGTTGGGCAAAAAATGCTGCCCATATTTACTTTAGTAAGCAATGTCGGAGTCATCTAATACTCAAGTGAAACTGGCCACCAGGATCACCAAGGCCATGAAAAACTAAATCTCAAGTATTTTCTATGCCTTGCCCATGTTGTCAGTGGCATTAATTAATTCAGCAGAAACAAAAGGCAGCATAGTTGCAACTCATCAGTAATCTGCATACGGTATTTTTTTAAACAGATTTTGAAAAACAATACCTGGTTAGGATCTTGAAACCTTAACAAAAATGACACTAATGAGGGTACCCATTCCATCCTGTTGCAAACTGCTGTCATGACATTAACATGACATTAACTGTTGTCATGACATCATCTTTTACCATCACTATTCCTCATCTAGTGCTCCTCGGATGAAATTCCTTGCTATCACAAAAGTTCTTTGCCCACCCCTTAGCATTTCCTAATTTTCCATCCAGAATGGTTAAGACTCTGCAGCAGTCTGGGCTTCCCTTCCTTCACCTCCACCCCATCAGAAGTCCTGGACGTTTCTACCATCCAGAACTCCTGAATCAGGCACAGCACTCCTCTTGCTGCTTTGAAATTTCAGGGATGCCCTCCCCACTTCCCCTGCTTGATTTCTTCAGGTCCTAAGAATGCCCTCACTAGTCTCTCTCTTTAGATGCCAACCCCTTTAATCTAGAATCTTGGTGCCAGCTGACGAGAGGCAGGTCCACACCTGATTTCTCCCTATGCTCTCTGCGGTACACCTCAGTTAGGACTCCCCAGCCCTAACTCAGGCTGGGCAGTCTGTTCATTCTTCCCCATGAACAAAATACATCAGCCATATTGATTAATCCTTACCGTTAGAGAGTTTAGGAAGTAATTAGGTTTAGATGAGGTCGTGAGGGTAGTGCTCCAATAATGGGATCACTGTCCTTAGAAAAAGAGGAAAAGAAACTGGAGTGTTCTCTTCTCTCTCTGTCTCTGTCTCTCTATCTCTCTCTCTCACTGACCCCTCATGCATATACAAAGAAGGGATCATGTGATCACACACTGAAATGGCAGCTATTTGCAAGCCAGAAAGAGGGACCTCACCAAAGCCTCATCCTTGACTCTCCATCCCAGACTGCTGCACTGTGATAAATAGATGTCTGTTGTTTAAGTCACTGTCTATAGTGTTTTGTCATAGCAACCAGAGCTGACTAAGACACTTACTTTACCAAGAGCCATGCTGGGCATCTTTATATACAAGGCCCTATTTATATCCTAATTTGCCCAGGTCATGTGACTCTTAATCACCTCTAATTTTGTAAACAAGGGTACTAAGGCCCAGAGAAGGTAAATGATTATCCCAAAGACACACAGCAGGATAGGTGGAGTTCATGTGGGAAATTAAGGTTTCAGTCTTTGTAAGTAGGACCTAAAATATGTTTGTTGGTTAACTAGAGTCAAAGAATGTCAGCACTTGAGGGGCCTCCAGCTCTTTTTCAAATCAATCCCATAGAAACTGAGCCCCAGGGAAGGACATGATTCTTAGAAGTTTGTGGCATAGCCCAGAAACTCTGTGTGTGTGTGTGTGTGTGTGTGTGTGTGTGTGTGTGTGTGTGTGTGACTTCAAGCCCCTCTGTCCCTCTACCCCATACTGTCTGACTGAATAATAACATCAGTGATTAACAACAGAATCATCAAGTAGAAAAAGGCCAAATGAAAGAGAGAATTATAGCTCCAAGAGAAGAGGGATATAAAAAGGAAGAAATGTTAGCTAAGGAGGGGACACAGGCCAACATCTGTGTCCTTGCCCTCCTCCCTTAGATGCTCATACAGTGGGATCATCAGAATTTCCATGAAGGAGGGGCTTGGCTGGCCCACAGGAGGCAGAGGCGGGGCTGCCTGGAGCATCTATGATCAGAGTTGGTTTCCCAACAGTGAGCTGCAATGGCGTCACCTGGGAGCTAGGTAGGAATGCAGGTTCCTAAGCTCCACTCCAGATCCACTGAATCTGCATCTGCAATTTAAGATCCCTGGGTTACACTTATGACAATAAAGTTTGAGAAGTAAGCCCCTGGACATTTGCAGAGAATACACCTTGTTTATATTAAGATTGCATGTCTGTTTGAGATAGTTTAAGGTAGTTGATGGGGAACATGTGGGGGAGGGAAGGAGAACTACAGTTGCCTAAGGTGTCCTTTGATGCCATCCTGGTACTTTCCAGAATAGCAAGATTGAGAGGAACTGGAAATGGTTATGAGGAACCAATGAGGGACTGAAATTTCTGCCACTTGGGGTGGCAGGGGAGGAGAGAGAGGAGTGTAGAGGAAGATGTTCTGGGATTTCCCCCCACCCCCATGTGGCTGCTTTTTAAAAATGTGTGCCAGGAAATCTGTTACTGCTGAAAATAGCAACTATCCACTGCCAAGTTAATGACACCCTCTCTCCATACACAAGCACATACTCCCTACTCGAAAAGGCAGGCTCACACAAGATACCCATACCTCCATTCCTGTCCCTCACACCACCACCCCACTGGGGAGCTTCTGTGGAAGCTCATCTCAGGAGATGGCTGTGGGCACAACTGCTGCATCTGAGCCCCTCCTGGAAAGGAGTTGTTATAGAACAGGGAGAGGGGCAGCCCAAACCCCGCAAACCTGCCTATTCTACATGGGTTCTGCCATCCGCCGCATCAACACAAAACATAGGAGACTTTAATGAAAAGGAACTTTAATAAAACTAGGAAACAATACAGATAAGGCAAAGAGTCTAGTTTCTAAATGAAGCACCCAAAGTTACCCATTCCCTCGTGGGTAAAAGTCCATCCATATGGGATTGGCCCAGAGCAAGGCCCCAAAGCCTGCCACAAGTCTAAAGCATCTTCCAGTGGGGACCCACAGAAAAGGGTCAGAAACTACCAGACAAGGCCGGAAGGAAAAGAGCAAAATCAACATCAAAATAAAAGCTGCCATGGTCACCTCCCCACGGGTCTCACCCACATCTGTGTTACCCAGTCCACGACCAAAAGACAAGCACAGTTTCTTCACGTGTCTCTAGGCTCCACGCGCCTCCTCCAGGTCTCCTGGCTCCATCCTGCTTCCTTCCTCAGTCTCTTCTGCAGCTTCTCTTCTTCCTGCTCAGCTCCACCCTCCCTTGGGTGGGGCAGGGAACATCCCCCTTTCCTGGGGACCACCCTGTTACAGAGTGACCCACCAGAGAGCCCACTGCTGGACCTACTGGACTGTCCTGCCCAAGAAGAGCAGACAGCTAACACAGAGCAGCAGTCAGGGTGGATCACAACAGAACTGGCCAGTGAGGGAAGGAGAGGCCAAGGTCCAGCCAGGCATAGGAGTACCTGGGCCAAGGAATATGCACCCAGAGGTTGCCACCCTGAAATGAACAAGATGCTATGAATCACTAATATATCTTGCCCCAGGTATCAATTCAGCCAAAAGTCAGAGACACCAAGACCCCAGAGAAGCAAGTTTCTTCCCAAAGAAGTCCTGCTTTTGCTGAGGAAGCCCCCATTGTCATCTGCACTGCACAATCACTTCCAGCACAGCACTAAAAGCAGAGTGTTTACCAGAAACCAAATAAATATAAACTTCCTTGGGCAGAAGGAAACCAGCTGGGGCCTGTGATGACATAACAACTTTGAACCAAGCCGAATGGCCTGTACCCAGATCACTGTGCGGCCTCAGGCAAGTTGCTCTTCCTTGTAGCACCAGAGTTAATAGCATCTCCCCTAAAAGGATGGTAGCAACTATAGGAGATGGATACACGTCCCCAACATAGGCCCCATCCTGCAGTAGACACTCAAGAACTATTGGTCTACCCCACTCCCTGCATGTCCAGGGTAAGTTCAGATAAGATCCCAATGTGGGCTCTGTGACCTGCTACCCCAAACCCAGCCCCTCTTGCCTTCCTGCTCTTGGTCTGACTTCAGTGCCCAGCAGAGCCTGATCCTGACAGTTGATTTTTCCTTCTGACAAGCCGCTTGTCCCACCTAGGGCACCCTAGGCCTTTCCAAGCCTTGTCTGAGATCTGCAGATTGACTGTTTTCCTGATGTTTTTTCATTTGTTTGTTTGTTTACACATCGTTAAGTCCCAGACCAACCAGCACCCTCGGTTAATGAGATTTATGATCTAGAGTGTTATAAATAGGGGGTTTACCTACTTACATGTACTTACCTACTTACCTTCTTCTACAAGGAATTAGTGTCATAACTTTAAAATTAAAAATTATGATATTTCCAATACCATCATACTTGAAGTTGGCAGATGCATGAATTTGTGATGTGTAAGTGTGTATTTAAAAGATGACAATGTTTAGTTGACCATTATTGTCACTATTTCCTTTATATTTGAACTTTTTGGAATCAGGGTTAAGTTAACATCTTTATATAGCACATGTAATCATTGTGAAGGGGAAAGCTACAAACGCAGACCAGAATGGAGGTGTTGTGTTGGCGACTCAATTACTGGCATAAACATGGCCAACAGATTGGGGGGTACAGGGGGCATTTTCCAAAATGGATTAACAGCTGATGAAGTTCCCAAAAAAAATGTGCCTTTTCAGCACAGTAGTTAGAACCCAGGAAGATATAAAATAAAATCATATTTTTTTAAAAAAAATCCACTCCTTGTATACAAAGTGAATTGAACTTTGGGCTCATGTGACTATGAACTGGCTTTTCCCCTACATGAATGTTCTGGCAGGATGCTAAAAAGATGTGTAGGATTTAGGACAATTTTTCGCTGTGGGGGGCTACCCTTGCAATGTCTCCCCTGCAAGATACCTATCATCCATCACTGATGTCAGAGAAATGACCCCATCATGTGGCAGCCAAAACTTTAAAAATGTTAGGATGCTCCATGAGAAACTAAAACTTCTCACTGAAACCTGCTATTGTGGACTAACAACAGAAACGCACTCTCCCACAGCCTCTGGTTCATAGCTCTAGATGAAAATCGGTTAAGCTAGGGGCCTCCCTGGTGGCGCAAGGGGTTAAGCATCAGCATTAGGAAGCTATTCACTGCTGCTGCAGCACAAGTTCGATCCCCAGCCAGGGAGCTACCCACATGGTACAACACACCTCTCCTGTCTCACCAATTGCTCCCCTCAGCAATGTATTTCAGTCAATCTGAAGAGTGGGGAGAAGTGTTCTCTGGTGAATCCTCTCACCCCCCACACCTCTGGCCCAGTTTTTATATTCATAAATAAATAAATCTTTTAAAAAAGAAAAAGAAGGGCCTCCCCGGTGGCGCAGCGGTTGAGCGCTGGGTTGCGAAGCCGCCTGCGGCCTCAGCGGCGCCGGTTCGATCCCCGGCTGCTCCCCGGCCACTGGAGGAGGGTCCCACATGGCGCGCAGACCTCTCCTGCCGCCCGCTGCTCCCCTCAGCAGTGTACTTCGGTCCTTCTGCCTGCTCTGCTCCCCGCTCTGGCTCTGGTGAATTCTCTCACCCTCCCACGCTTCTGACTGTACCCAGTGCATGTATGAACAAACAAACAAACAAACAAACAAATAAATAAATAAATAAAACATGCCTCTATAAAAAAAAAATTAAAAAAAATTAAAAAAAAAAGATTTATTAAAAAAAAAAAGAAAAAGAAAATTGGTTAATCTACAAGGGTTAAGCAATCTAGAACTGTCCATTCCACCTCGCATAGCATGTTAGATCCTCCAAGGAACTTCTCAAGATCTACACATCGAGGTTCTTCTACAGACCTAGTGAATGGAGGGTAGGGCCCAGATATCTGTATTGTGAACACTCCCTAGATAAGGACACCCTTAGATCTATATTTTGAACACCATTTCTTCACCTTCATCCCACAGTGAGTGGGCACTGAACCTAGAATTCCTGACATTCCATCCCAGAAGCCCAGGCCCAGAGAATGCAGTGAAATCTATAGGTTCTTGTGTAGCCTAGGGCACTCAAATGCTGTGTGGCTTTGGCTGCACCATTTACCC